TTACACGTGAGTGTGATCTTGCATTATATTTTCTATAAATTTTTTGGATAAGAATTTATTAAATAATTGGACAAAGAAAAAGCCTTATCTGCTACCATTACATATGACATATCTTCACTAAACCCTGAATTGCTTTATGGGGAGGTAGGTCAAGTGTATGGTTAAGAATTTTTATATAATTATAGTATTATAATAGAATAGATATAATTGAAGATTAATATCAGCAAATGATTATATAGAATAAATATAATATAACCTCTATAAAGGGAGCTATTTCTAAACACCCCACCATCACTTTGTTTCCTATGATCTCCTACATCAATGTATGTAAACTTTCTATTGTAATCAGTTAGAACTAACAACACAATAGAAAATCTGTGCTTATAACAGTAATGTTGAGAACTAATATAGGACATTATATATATATATATATTATTCACCCAAGACTCAAAACAATTTGGAAACCTTGATTGAATCACGAACTCTTAGGAAATCGAAATAAATAAAATATATAATATGTTATTGTTACAATTCCGTATTTGAATTGTAATATTTTTGTCGAAAACTTTGTGGGAGAGACTTTTAATAAAATCAAATTGAAACCACGCTGTAACTATACGGTATTTTAAAACACAATACTGAAAATTTAATAAATCACAAAGTTACTATTCGGTATTTTAAAACACGACACTGAAACTTTAATAAAACCCAAAAACTGTTTATTTCGAAATTTTATGTCTGTTTATATACATTTTTTTAATATGCAAAAACAAATTAAAAGTAAATTAAAGTTCATCAAATTATAATATATTTCAAAAAGTAAAATATTCAAATATCCTTAAATAATAATTTACAATCGTCGATGCTCTATTAACAATATTTAAATAACCAACTAATTATATTATAAAATAATTCATATTCAAATTATTGCGTATTCATAAAAAATGGAATAGGCATAAATCTAACAGTTATAATTATAATTACTCCTTTCCATTCCTTTTTTGTAGGCTTTGGGCATGTGCTTCTCTGCAGCAACATTCTATATAGCTCTGTACACAGATTTCACTTTAGGCTATGCAGGATTTGTACTTGGACTAAACCCCAACAACTTCATCTCAATTCTTTAGTTTAAAGATGAGAAGGACAACCTGAGTTTTATTATGATGATATCAATCCTAAAGTGATAAATTGCACAAGCAGATTGATGCAGTAGATATTTTTCTTACCTTAAGGTAAAATAATGTAATTTCAAATAAAATTATTTACATAAAAGGTATCTTATAACTGAAATTCTTTCTCGCAGGGAATTTAGTGCAAGGATATCCAAATCATGCATAGCCTATAGTGAAATCAGCGTGTAAAGCTATATGGAATACTGCTTCAGAGAAGCACATGTCCAAGCCTACAAAAAAGTCTATTTAGATTTCCCAGGAGTTCATGATTCAATCAGGGTTCTTAAATTGTATTGGGACCTTGGTTGGAAAACATATTTATGTATAATGTCCAAAAAATGGTTCTCTACAGTTATCTAAAACTTAGTTTCTATATTGTGTTGTTAACGCTCAGATTACAATGGAAAATTTTTATATATTGATGTAGGAGCCTACGAGAAGCAAAGTAATAGTGGGGTTTTAGAAATAGAGGATTATATTTATTCTATATAATCATTTGCTGATAATCTTCAAATCAAATATATTTTATTCCATTATAATAATAAAATGAATATATATAAATTCTAAACCACACACTTGACTTATTACCTCACGAACCATTCCAGGATCTATTGAAGATATGCCATATGTCATGATAGCAGCTGATGCTTTATCGTTTAATTATTTATTGAAACCTTATCCCAAAAAGAATTTATCATTTGAGACAAGAAAATATAATGTGAGGTTATCTTATGCATGTAAGAATAGAAAGAAGTTTTAGAAGTATCGTTAAAATATTTGACCTTCTAAATAGACTTGGAAATAGGCATAGCTCATGTTGAGATTGTAGTCAAGACTAGATTTCTACACAACACCATAATACAATTGATAGCATATCTTATGATGTTGATAAGATAGGTATTTTAAAAAATTTGATTTTTCTATATTTTGTTTGTTTAATACTATTTTAACTGATACAACCACTAGCTTGACTATAGGTTTTCAAATTTTGGCTCAAAATAAAAAAAGATAGAAAAAATCAAACTAGTTTTCATTTGTATAAATTATTTTTAACGCTTGCCGTAAAAAAATACCAATTTGCACTCAACCATTTAAAATGAATAATTAGCTTTTATAACGCTGCGTTCCAAGCTCAATTTGTTCGCACTACTACCCTTGATTTAAGTAAAGACGTGAAAACCTTATCAACTCTTCCAAAATATGCATTTTTACTAAAAATTGAAATTTTTGTATAAAATAGATGACGTTATACAAAACAAGGATTATGCTTAAAAATTTATTGCTAACTTATCAATAACAGGATATTTTCATTTTTTATATATAAAATATTTCGAATTTTTAATAAATGTACCAATTAAACTGAAGGGCAGTGTGAGCAACCTTAATAATATATCAAATTACTAAAATAAATATCCTTCGCGTAATTTTTATTATTATTGATATATATAGATAGATAGTCAAATTTATTCCATAATTTAAAATATATTTGAAGCAAAATATAGTAAGAATATAAATTATATATTTAAGAAAACATAAAAATATGAAGTTTTAATTTTTCATCTTTATGTAAAGTATATGTTCGTTCGATAACAGTTAATGGACTGACCACATCTTAAATTTGTCATTTATTTATCCGCAATTTGTCAATCGAGGAGGGGATATGTATAAATATTGGTTTGAGGATGCAAAAAACTAACCTAACATATCTTTTTCGAATTTCTTTTTCTTAAACATAGGACATCCACCATTAACTGTGATAGATATATGTTATATATCTATTTATTTTTTCATATATTAAATTCGCATCTATATTTGAGTTAAATGTTATATTCTGTGCAATTCTATTGAATTTGAATAAAATTTAGTTTCAATTGCACCCTGAAAAATTGGATAAAATTTTTTGCGTTCTTGGTATATTGTACCCGCTTTACTGAATCTCTCTTTTAAAATTATTTTCTCTTTCTCACATTGGCCTCTCATAATACAAGAGAAATCTATTCCTTAATAAAAAAATTTTTTTATAATATATTAATAAATTAGAAAGTTTATACCTTAATATTTTCCTTAGAATAGACAAAAAACTCCTTGGGACAAGTTATATGTTCTAAAACAGATCTTTGCAAACTAGCTCTGGCTACTGAATGTTTGGTTGTACCTCAGATTCCTTCACTGGCCGATTTGCCGGCCCAAAATACCGATGAGTTATTCTAAAATCATCTTTATGGTAGCAAAGATTGATTAAATTTTTAATATTCTTAAATTGTGATGCTATTCTATCTGAAAAGTAGAATAAATTTTTGCTGCTTTAAAATTCCTCTATAAAGTAGGGGACTAAATATTTTTGGAATAAACCGTAATTGTATTATGAATGAAGATATCGATATATTACTTAACTTAAATGATATCACAAAAGATGAGTGTTACGCTTTATTCCAGTTAAATCCTTGGACCTCAGCCTGATCCACAAAGGTATAATTTTCAGAAAAATCTGCCGGAACGATATATTCTTAAAATTAATAGAATTTATGTTTAAAATTCTTTGAGTTATAAGCAATTTAAACTTTTTGCAGGTGTGGAAATCTTCATTTTTGCAAGACTTGGTATCTCGGAAACTAAGTTTGATAGGGAGCGAAACTACTTCCTAATTTTTTTACCTATCTAATTAATTCCAAAAATTTTTAACAATTTCAAAAGGGATCGGCAATGTGCCTCTTTTGATCGTGATATGAAATGACCTATAGATTATATTTGTTCTTTCGGTTTATTAAATGGAGATAGAAGTAAAATAGTTTAAATCTCATATTTTGAATCGAGTTTCAAAATTTCATATGAATATGACTTACAAAGACGCAGTTTGTCAAACTTTTGAAAGCACTAATTCGAAGCTATATCAATGCAATGCTTAAATGTATACATTTTAGTTTCATATTCAATTCTTTCGGTAAACAGTATAAAGAAGTTATTAGCAAAATACGAAAACTAAAATCCATTTGATAGAACGAAGAATCGAAACACTAAATCAATTATAATTTTAAAAAAAATTAAAAACAAAATGTCTAAAAGAAATAATTATTATCATCATTATAAAAAAAATCAACTTTTTGTCATATTGCAAAATATGATACTCGATGTCTCTGTTTATAGCTTTGATACCGTTATAATTTTGGTAGCATAAATATTAGTCAAATTGAATTGTAGCATCTTTGGAAAATGTACAAAATACGAGGAATTGGTTAATGGTGAAATTAAAAACGATTATAATATCTGATTTTTTTACCCTCATGCGCTAAGGTTTAGCTATTGATTAGTAAAGTAATATAATGCTAAGTATGCTTTTACAATTAAAAATAGAAAAAGTTAAACGCCGATCCCATACGAATTATAGCGTCTCTGGGAAGCGTTCCGTTTTTTAATTTTTTTTATATGATTATAACAAATTTTTTAGATTATAAAATGAAACGTTTTTATATGAAAATTTTTTCGCTCACTTCTTTAAATATAAAATGAGATTATTTTATTGGATTATAAAATTAAGGAGGGAGTTTTATCTATCAAATTGTCATCTCGATATTATTATAAAAGTATTATAAAAACATCTTTACTCCTCCCACCCCTTGTCTGCACCATCGATAATTATATTAAAAGATATATATATTCATTAAGAGGCTGAAATTTAACATGAATTATATTTGCATAACATTTTATTTTGTTGATTTTTATCATTTAAGAGATAATGTTAAAGATACCATGAAATCATATTTGACTACTAACTGTACGTGGTGTTTTTCTTCAATAACTATTGATAATGTCCACATTCCTGGCTAGTACTTTTTAGTAATTATTTCTAATAGTGTTATAAAGGTTTTGAGGATATATCATTAGAAGAAATCAAATACATAGAAAAAGCTTTGAATGAACAAAAATTTAATTCTAATTTTAGTGCTATTCAATTACAATTTTATAAAATTCTGGATGATCATTACAAAGTAGAGCAGAATAAAATATCTCTACTTTCTCATATGAAAGATCAAAAATTGATTAAAAGTTTGGTATAATAAATTAAATTTTTTGAAATTTGTCTTCTTTCTCACCAAAAGGAAGAAAAATACATGGAAACAAAAACTTCATTATTATCAGATTCAATAAACAAAGGTTGCTTTATAAAATGATTGATATTTTAAAACCATAAAATACTTTATATTTTAGATCAAACTCCTACAGATATTACTATATCAAAATTGAATAATTTAATTAATCCTCGTCTCCCAAATTTTAAAATGTTCACGAAAACCACAAATGCCAATCCACCCAATGAATTTATTCCCTTATCACTTATATCGCTTAATCATTCAACACCATTTACAAATAAAACAAATGTTATCGAATTTAATTTTAAAACTCCCAAACCTACCATACAAAAACCTTCTTTATCCCTTTTGGATAATAGAAATAATCTCAATTTTCAAAATAGTGTAATAACTGTTGTCCCAGCAGGTGAGAATTGTTTTAAATTAAATATCAATATTATGAATGTTAGATGCTGATGCAGCCTGATATGAACCAACCAGCCAACTTGGCTTGAGTTGTCCAGCCCGTAAAAAATTTTTTGTACATTTTTTTCAGCTCATAAAAAAATTTTATGAAGGAAAAAAGACATTTGGGTCCAAGCTTTAAAAAAAATTGCATAATTCCAGCCCATGATAATACTTTGTATAATTTGTTCAGCCCAGCTCAAAAAATTATTTTGTTTCATCCAGGCTGCACCGACCTCTAATGATGTTGGTTTGTATGATAATATTATATTCTTTAAAAGGATAAAACAAGAAAAGCTTAAAATAAAATTGGAAATGAATATTATTATGAAAACAAAAATGTTTTTTTTTATGGATTTATATTTTTCTAGTCTCTTTGATATAGGATCATTGATCTATGGTGAAAGTTGAAAGAATTTTAAGCTTAATCTAATCCCATATTAAGGATTTGTAATTAAATCAGGAATATAGACCATCTTAGTGTTTTTCTAAAATTCTTTTATCCATTATCTAAATATAGTTTTCGTAAATAAGAATTTTAAAAAGAAAAATAGTGTTACTAAAACAAAAGTGTGTTTTGGTAAGAACTCATTTTAAATTGCTAAGGAATAAGGAGAATTAAAATTAACCGAACCATGTCCCATAATAATAAAATTCGCATTCATTTTATTATTTCTAAACATAGTGATAAATTTTAATTAACATATTATATTTTGATGTGAATGTATATAACAAAGAAAAGGTTAACGTTATGGTATACACCCCTTTAAACTTACTCACGGACGAAGAAAAACAACAATATATCGCTAGAGATTTTGATATAGGAAAAATACCCATCCAACTTCCGCCAATAGAATATTGTTGATTTATATGTTTATTTTGTGTATTGTAAAGCTTTTCTGTTTTAATATGCAGATATGAATATTCATGTTATCTTTATTTTATATAGGTAAAATTAAGGAAAAATGGTCGAAAAACCTTAAATGATACTTATATAAAATACTAAAATTTGAATAGAAAAGAATTGATATCAGTTTATCTCGTTTCTTTATATATATATATAAAGATTCAAACTGGTAATAAATATTAATATATTGATAAACAATATTTTGGAAATGTGTTTAAATATTTATCCAAAAATCAGTCGGCAGAGGATTATTTTTTACCGCACTAATCAGAGATGCGCTAATATCGATACTTAGTAGTAGAATATCATGTTTATATAGGTTTGAGTAACGTATAAAAAATCCCTATCGGTGCATTTAATGCTTTCGATCCAAAAATGTAATAAGATTATATTTACACTTTAACTTTTATTAATCCAGTAGGAATATTAAATTTATTTTATTCTAACATGCGCAGACACGGGCAATAAGTAACGAAATACTTTGATGAAGTAATAAAGATACATTGTTTTTTTTTGCATAAAAAAGCTGAAAAAATTATAAATAAAAAACTATTTATAAAGATTGGCTAATTTGGTATTTGTATCCATCTCTACAATTTTGTATATTTCGTCACATGAGCATTAGATTATTCCATCTCTATTTTTTGTTATTTTACAGGAGAGCAATTTAAAAGTTAAGTTTCTATTATTTTCAATATAATGGTATGAGTATGACCTTATATTGGCATTATTTAACTTATTTTATATGTAGGGGAGACCAGGGCTAGTCGGCGCAAGGGGCTTGTCGATTCAAAGGATTTTATTTTAAAACCAGTAACTATTAAAAGTTGAAATTTTGTTCTAAAATAGAAACTTATAATATCCATATTTGGGGATAAAAATAATTTATAATATTTAGCTATTTAAATTTTTATCTGTTATGATGACATGTTTTTGACGTGAAAATTACAATATTTTCACTTAATATTATTAGGTTGTATTTAAAAATTAAAAGTTTAGACATGACAAAATGGACATTATATGAAAGTTAAATATCTATTTTAATATTTGGGAAAGTTTCAGATTGATATCTAATGCTTAAATATATGTTAAAATCATATTAGTAATATTACCACCATTGAGGTTAGTTGAATCGTGGCTTGTCGGCGCAATCAATCAATTAATATTTATAATATAATTGTACGTAAATATATCCGCAAAATTCAAAATCGAAAGATTTTGAATAAATCGGAATACGGAATAAAGCGCATACGCCCTCTCAACGTTGTAGGTACAACAGAGCTACGCTAGGTTTTCCTCATTTCCATCTAATTGGAAGATTTAAGTTAGGTATAAAGTAAAATATGAGGAGCCCTTCACACGTTTGTGGGCAAGCCGCACGTACTTGTACGCATAATAGTTCATAAACTATTATTTAAACGTCTGTGGGCTGGAACAGATAGGGAGGACCAAGAGAACAGCCCACACCCAAAACCTACGGCCCTATTTATTTTTTAAAAAAAAGGGACGGGGAAGGTACTCTAGAAATATAATCTAATACCTAAAATAATAAATAAATATATGATTAAATTAAATTCAAAGTACAAATACAATCACTTATCAGTTTATATCCATCCTTGAAGATAATATCCATATTCATTACTCGTACCGGAAAAACCGAACCTTCAAGATTTTTATTTTTTTATTCAGGCGAATAAATAGTGATTAAGAAATATATCTTTGAATAAATCTGATTACGAAGAAGCTATTAAACTATATGAAAATAATAACTCATCAAGAAAAGTATCATCTATTACAGGTTAAAATATAATATAATATGTTGTGTATATATAATAATAATTATATAAATTCATTAATATAATTTTTCATAATATACATTTCAATTTTAATATGATATCAGACCTAAATAAATATCTTGCAAACTAAAATCTTCATATATATTGTAATAATATAATATATATTGTTATTATATTTTGTCATAGATATAACATACATTTTTAGTATATAAATTTTAGTCTGATAATAAGATCAATTATTTAAAATGAATTATATCTATCAAACACATATTTTTATACATTTTTATTATAATTGACAATAAATGTGATTTAAATTAATACATTTTATTGAATATGAATTTAGTATATATAAATTTTAGCCTGATAATAAGATCAGGCTTAAAATTTATATATATATAGTAAACTAATATTTTTTATATAAATATATTATAATTGGCAATCAGTGGCGTAGCCAGGATTGATTCATAGGGGGGAAGGGGGGGGGGTTGAAAATTATCAAAATTTGCCAATATTTTGTGTATTATACCCAGGCCAGCATAAATATTAAAAAATATTAGAATTAAAATTTTTGCCAAATTTATAATTAATAAGCGACTGAAAGCATTATTTTGAAAATGTTATCAATGTTTAGTAAATTGTATATTAATTCAATCTATTCGATGTAAAAAAAAAATTGCCTCCCTCCAAACCTTCCAATTTTATGATCAACTCAATATATTTTATTCTATGTTAAAAATAATTATTTTAATTAAATTTTTGCATATAACAATATTTTGCAGAAATTTTATTTATTATTAACTTTATTTATTTAACTATGTATTTATTTTAATAATATATAAAAAAATAAATTTCAAAATATATAAATTTTATACAGATTACTATTTTAAAAATTGATTGTAAATATCTATATTTTAAAAAAATAAAATTACAATAAAATATAAGTAATTCTTGTATAAAAAAATATAATTTAACAGTTATATTTAATACAAATGAGTATATTATATAAATAATTCTTATTGTAGGTGCAATACTATTATTAAATATAGTATAAAAATATCATGACTAAAAATTCATTATAATTCATATAAAAATTTTATGACTAAGAAAATATTACAATTATATGTTGAATTTATAAAGAGAGGTCTACTTTTCTCTGAGATTTGGCTAATTCATCTAGAATCAAATTTTTATCTAGAATAATCTCCTTATAAATATTTAATAGGGCTAATCCATTTAAACGGTTTTCACCGGTGCTATTTCTTAAATAGGTTTTTAACCTTTTCAAAGTTGAAAAAGACCTTTCATTAGTGCAGGTACTAATCGGTAAAGTAGCTAAAATAAAAAACAATGTTTTGATATTGGGCAGGGAATCTAAAGTGCAATTACACATGGAAAGGGCCTGCAAAGCATTTTTTGGTCTCAAAGAGTACTCTATTCTGCCAAGATTTTTATACCAAAATTCGACTTCACAAAGTAACTTATCACACGACCCTAATAAATCATCAGAATAAAACTCTAAGATGTTCTTAATATCCTCTCGCGTTTCAAGTGTAATCAACAATTCAGACTCAACCGGCAAAAGAAAATAAAAGATTTTTAAAATAAAATTGTCCGAATTTTTTTAAAATATATTTTATTTATTTTTGATTTTTATAGCTAATAATGGCGATTTCAAATATCTGATTTTAAAATATAGGCCCGGTCAGGATATTTTTTTAAAAAAATTTTTAGGCCCGGCTCGGCGTGGGTTATTTAAAAAATTAAAATCCGGTCCTGCAGGTCTCTGATATTTCTTCTGTATTTTCCTTTCAAAAAAATATTTTATTTATAATTATAAATTATAGGCATTCCTACTGGCAACTAGTTGCAGAGATTTAGGAAAATATAAATTTTCATAATGTATGCAATGAAAAAGGGAGTGCATATAAAATTAATGCACATGAATGGAGCAAAAATATAATTTCTATCTCTTTAAAGATTATCAAAGAGTAATATTTACAATTGTGATGAGCCAGAACTATACTACCGAGCATTACCAACGAGCACATTGGAATTAGTAGAGATCAACCACTAGGCCTCAAACCAGACAAGAAAAAAAAGTTTCAGTTATATCCATCATAATAGGGAATGGATCTGATATAAAGTTATATGTTGTAGGGAAATTTAAAAACCCTGGGTACTTTAAAAATAGGAATTTACCAGTGAAATACTACTCTAAGAAAAGTAATTGGATAACCAATTCAACCTTTGAAGATATTCTAAGAGAATGGGATCCCTCATTAATGAAAAAAATTTTATTGTTTAAAATTTAAATTTCTTATCTTATCTAGCACGTCGGTCAACCTGCCCAAAGTAAGCGAACGTGAATTTTATGAAGGCCCACCTTTCATAAAATTAAGCCGATTTTTTTCTCAAGGATACCAACAAACCTTGTACCAAGTTGTAATTTAACAAACCTTCCTAATTTTGTAATAAAGAGATTTAGTAATGAGTATTATACGAAAAGATATAAATTTAGTAATCTTATCTATTTTGAATCCATTGAATTACCACATCAATAATATAGAATGAATAAGAACATATTAGTTTCCATTTCATCGTTAATTTTTAATTTATTGAGTCTAGAAATAAACATGATTAAATAAAATTTAAATACTAGTTGAAAATACAGTACAACCACAACCACTTATCTCTTACATCCAACTTTGAGGATAATCCTCCATCAGTTAAAAATACAGTATAACATCTTATCAATAATACTAGATCTTACATCCAAGTTTGAATATAATCTTCCATCTTACGGGTAAACCGAACTCAAAACATCAAATATATAAAAAAAAATTTACCAGCAAATACCACATCCCTAATTCAACCTTTATACATGAGTGCAATTACGTCAAATGTCATTTTAGAAAGGATATAATGAGATAGATGAAAGCATTGATGTTAGGAAATGACACCACCTCTTTTTTAAATAGATTTACACTTTATTATCGCCTTTATCTTATAAAATTTGCATGGGTTGAGGTGACAAGCCACTCATAAAATTATTCATTGAAGAATTATATTGATAAGTCTCTGACATTTAATTGGAGGAGGAAGGTGTGGCACTAACTGACAACGAAGAAGATGAATTTGATCCCAAAAATTATTTTATCGCATGTCACATAAATTGTAATATATTAATTACATGAATTAAAATCAAATGTTAAATATATTTTTCTAAATAATGTAAAATAAACCTAATAATTTAATGG